TGGGGCTATTTGTGATTGGCCCTAAGACTCACTGAGAGCGGGAGCATGCTGAACTGGTTGGGGGTCTTGCTGTGGAGCTGGGGCTTGTGGAGTAGGATTGAGTAAATTGATGAGGGGATCACCAAGGTTGTTATGAGCCAAGAGCTGAGCCAACACTAGCTGAAAGACACCAAACTGTTGTTGTATGGCAGCAAGCTGAGCTGCAACTACGTCTTGGTTGGCGGTGGAAGCTTAATTGTTAGTTGAATTGTGAGGTTGATTTTCATCTCCTCATTCTGCATGATCAACAGGAGGGAACATATTTGGGATCAGAGGTGGGAGGTGAGATGGAAGGTTGTTGGGGACTTGACATTGTCCAAGAGGCGGAGATGGATTTCTAGCTCGGACTGATCGAGTGTTAACCATTATGAGAGAGCAATAAGAAAGCTTTCAGTTCGGTTCCCACAGACGGCGTCAATGTAATTGCACCAAACCAGAGATCCTTCTTCAGTCTGCATTTTCACTTCGGATGAACCTGCAAAGTCCCGAGGTGGGTCCTCGGGGTAGACACTCTGATACTTAAGTCAGCAATGATCGAGTCTATCTCTGGATTAATGAAAAAGGAGCTTTAGGAAGGCTACAATTACCTTTTTGACGTGGCCCATGGAGGGTATTTATAGGCCTTCGTGAGGTATCCATGTGGCTTGCTTAACAGGATGATCGGAGTATGACGTGTCCCTTGAAGAGATAAACTCGGGATTGACGACAAATTCGGGACCGAGGAAATATGTGATAAATCATGTGTGGGGATGCCCACTGTATTTATCGTGCAGCCGTTTGATCGGAAGTGCTGAATTTAATTTCACTTCGGCTATTAAGGAATTGTTATAGTACGTTCGAGGTTAAAGACCTCGGACCTATCCTTACAGTCTTGTAATGACATTAAGCAGCCTCTGGAAGATATGTATTGTATGTGTTGTTACCTTTCAGGAACATTCACTTATTTCACCAGCCTCCTCCATAGTCCCATTCGCCAA